AAGAATTTTATAGAAAACTACATATGAAAATAATTGAACTGGACTATACTAATATCGTTATGATGGGAGATTTCAATGGAATTGTAGACAATAAATTGGACTATACAACACAGAAAACAACAAAGCAAAACAGAAAGATTCTCCCTAAATCCTTTTTTAAAATGACAGATGAAATAAACCTAAAAGATGCATGGAGAGAAAGAAATGCTAAGTCTAAACAATACACTTTCTATTCAAACAGACATTCATCATGGTCCAGAATAGATATGATATGGATGTCAACAGAATTGTTAGCCAACATGCAAGAAATAAATATTGAAACAAGTATTTGGGCAGATCATAATCCAATGACAATTAAATGGAAAGGACAAAGAAGAAGATCTAGATGGATGTTAAACAATACTATATTAAAAGAAAATGATTTCATACAGAGGATGGAGAAAGAACTGGCTTTTTTCTTTAAAGAAAATAAAAAAGAAGACATCAATGCAGAATGTATGGGATACAATGAAGGCATATGCCAGAGGCTTGATAATAGACTATACAAGGAAAAGAAATATCACAAAAAGACTAGCCTCTAAGACATAAGAGGATGAGTATAAAGAACTTGAAAAAGAGTTACAGAAAATGCCACAGAAAAAGGACATTAAGTTAAAAATGGATATAATTAAACATAAAATGGGATTAATGGAAAAAGAAGAATTTGCACAGAAAATCAGAGGCACGAAATAGAACTACTTTGAAGATGCAAATAAACCAGGTAGATGGTTAGCATATAAACTGAGAAAGGAGAAAGAATCAAGGAAAATATTGCAATTAATAGATGATCAAGGCCAAGTTTGCTATGATAGTAAAGAGAAGAAGGAAATCATATGAGACTATTATGGGAAACTATACACACAAGAGAATATTGACAAATATTGAAAGAATTAAATAGTATTTACAGAATGCTAATTTACCCAGATACCTAAAGAGATTGAAACAATGTTAGAAAGCAATATAACGATGATGGAGTTAACTGAAGCACTCAAGAAGCAAAATAATGGAAAGGCACCAGGCCCAGATGGACTTCCGGCGGAATTTTATAAAACACTACAAGAATTGTTGAATCTTCCATTGCTAGAAGTTATGAATGAAGTTATGTCAAAGAAGAAGATACCTAAATCATGGTCAGAAGTTTATATTACACTTATCCCAAAAGAGGAGGCCAACCCATTACAAATCAAGAATTACAGACCTATTTCCCTATTAAATGCAGATTATAAAATTTTTGCTTCAATATTGGCAGAAAGACTTAAAAAATACCTAAATAATTTTATTCACTCTGACCAAAATGGATTTCTGCCAAAGAGACAAATTAAAGACAATATGAGAGTAATCTTGGACACTTTGGAATACTACGAGGCACATCCTGAAAAACAAATGGCTCTGATATTTCTAGATGCACAGAAGGCATTTGATAATGTGAATTGGCGATTCATGTTATTACTGCTGGAACAGATGGGCTTTGCTAGAAAATTTATTCAAGCAATAGAAGCTATATATCATAAGCAAACGGCAAAGGTAATGATAGAAGGAGAACTGACAGACTCTATCAATATAAGAAAAGGAACAAGACAAGGGTGCCCACTATCACCTCTGTTTTTGTGTTAACTTTGGAAGTGCTAAACAGAAATGTTAGAGAAGAAAAGGACATAAAAGGGATGAAACTTAAAAAAGAAGAATTTAAATTGCAAGCATTTGCAGATGATCTGGTTTTCATCTTAGAAGACCCACTAGAAACAGCATTAAAATTGAGAGAAAAGATAGAGGTATATGGGAAGGTGGCTGGTTTGAAAATAAACAAAGACAAAACAAAGATTTTGACAAAGAATATGTTATCAAGACAAAAGGAAGAACTGGCGGATGTATTAAAAATCCAGGTCACGAATAAGATCAAGTACTTGGGGATACATTTGACAGCAAGATGTAATACACTAAAAGAGAATAATTATATCAAACTTAAACAGCAGATAGTGCTAGATTTGGCAAAATGGGAAAATTTACAACTGTCATTAATAGGGAGAATATCAACAATCAAGATGAATATATTACCCAGAATTTTATATTTGTTTCAAACAATTCCAATTAGGCTTATTTAATTAAGATTATTTTGAAGATTTAAATAAAATTGTGTTGAAATACATATGGCAAGGTAAGAAAGCGAGAATAAAATTAAAACTTTTGCAAGATGCTAGAATAAGAGGAGGATTTAGTTTGCCTAATTGGGAGTTGTACTACCAAGCTACAAATTTGATGTGGGTTAAGGAATGGATAACATTAAGAAATGCTAGATTGTTGACATTAGAAGGACATGATCTGTTGTTGGGGTGGCATGCTTTTTATGGTATAAAGGAACTAAAACACAGGGGTATTTTAGAAGACATTATATACGGGAGTCTCTATGGTTAAACTGGGAGAAGACTAAATGGCAATGTTATTTGAAAATTCCAGTCTGGCTATTGACTATTGAAGCTTTTTCTTATCCTATAACATACAAAAAGGAACAAACAGTTAGATATGGTGAAATATTGAATGAAAAGGGTGAACTTAAATCTATGCAAAAATTAGAAGAGCAAGGTATAAAGATGAATTGGTTTTCATATGCGTAAATACATTCAAGGTATGATAAAGATGCTAAAACAGAAGGTTTCTATGATAAATTGACTGATTTAGATAAGATTTTGATGAAAATGTGATTAAAAAATTGTATGGATATCTATTAGAAATTAAACTAGAAGAAGAACAAGTTAAAGAAACAATGATTGCTGGGTGAAGAATTTTGGATATGGGATTGATCTAGAGAAATGGCAAAAATTGTGGTCTCAAAATTATAAAATGACAGTTGTCAACAGCATATAAAGAAAATTTGTATAAGATGTTTTACAGGTGGCATTTTCCCCCAACAAGAATGGCAAGAATGTTCAAGAATAAATCTGAAAAATGTTGGAAATGTCATCAAGTACATGGCTCATATTACCATATGTGGTGGACTTGTGCAGATGCCAAAAAATATTGGACTAAAATCCACACATGGTTGGAAAAAATGACAAAAAAGCATATAGACTTGAAACCAGAGATATTTTTATTGGGAATTTTACCTGAAATATATAGTAAAGAATTAAAATACCTGATTGTATATGTGTTAACAGTGGCTAGGATTGTATTTGCCAAAAACTGGAAAAATGATAAAGTACCATCACAGGAGGAAATTATTAAGAAAATATTGGAATGTGCTGAAAAGAGTAGATTGACATTTGAAATCAGAGAACAAGTTGATAAACAATTTTATAAAATTTGGGATCTATTCTATCAATGGTTAGATAATAAAACATGGTAATGAAATATGTAGATTCATTATGTTTTTAGAACATAATGAATAAATAAAAATGTATTTTTTATTATATCTACAAAATGATACATCTCCAACAACAGCGGCAGCAACAGCGGGAACCATGGAAGCGTTTCAGCCTCCGTAACTTCCACGGTTCCTGCCGCTGCTGCCGCTGTTATTGGAGACGGCGCTAGTGAGGGAGGGACAGCTGCAGCTCGGCCTGGGCTCTTGGAATGCAGGAACGGGCTGCGCACCGGGACTTTTGCAAACTTGCAAAGCCCGAGGCTGGAGCATCAGAGACGCTTGCTTGGCTCTTTTCACACCCACCCAGCCACTCGCTCCCAGGTACCTCAAAAAAATTTTTTTTCCTGTTGTTACGGGGACGGGGGGAAAGCGGGAGCGACTCAGATGCTGTTGTTGGAGACGGCGCTGGCGAGAGAGGCGCCAGCACCTATGGGAACCGTGGAAGCTACGGAGGCCTGAGAAGCAGCTGAAATGCTGCCGACAGACATCCCCACCCACCCGCTGACCTGGGTCTTCAGCGCTTGGTGGGGGTAAGGGAGCCCTCCGTGCTTCACCATGATTGGCCATTCGGAGTGGCTGGTGGCGAGGCATAGCCACCGGCGGGGCACCCTAGGCGAGGGTGCGCGCGGGGGGGGGGGGGGAGAAAGAAATTAATTCACCCCTGAAAAGACGTCCTAGCCATTTTTTCGGGGCTCAAAAAAAGAGAAAGACCCGGCCTTATTATATGAGAAACACGGTATACATATATATGGGTTGATTTCAGGATTGTGGCTGGCTGGTGGTGAAAATAGATTATGTCTTGCTCAGGTAGTGGGAGATGAGGAAACTGTAAAAGGGCAACAGGGAGATATTTAAATTATCCAACTCTGGACTAAAACTGGATTTTTTAAAAAATTAAAGCTTTTCAGATGTCCTACAACACCCAGAAACCACAATAACCCTCTCCTCATATTTGCCATTCCTGATTTGTATGAATTAGTTTTTCTTATAGGACATTTTTACCCAGAAAGTAAGCTGCACTGAGTCCACTGACAGTTACTTCCAAGATTATAGAATTAGTCAAGGGCAATGAATCCAGCCTTAGGAGCTACGTGATACCCCCCAAAGTCTAAGGTGTGTCCTTCAGATCTTATCCAACAATTGCTGATAAATTGTAATTTATGACTACATGGAAATTGTATGAACTCTAATTCTGATTTCATTTCAATTTAATGAATAAAATGTAATGTAATCCCAAATCTATTTTTAGTTTTAGCTTTCGTACATAGCCACTGGAATGCCATTCAAAGGATTAGTGCAGGTCTCAACCTAAAACATATTGTGGTTTCCGGATATTTACGTATGCTCAGGACTTCTACAACCTAGTGCTCTAAGGCTAAAGTTGTGCGGTCTGACAACAAATTTGGGAGTGTCAGTTGGAGAATGTCTAATAAACTGTCTAAAAGTGTTTTCATAGCTTTAGTCCAAAAATATCCAAGCCAGCATTTTATACCAGACTGTACATAAATCTAAGTCTTGCTGACAAACTAGTGCTCGGGAGGAAGGCTTAGGAAAAAGGAAGTATCTCATAATTGAGACAGTGGCATGCATGTCTATCACCAACATCTTGACACAAAGGGAGAAGTGGCATAATTTCTTAGGGTTTAACAGTTGCTTAGCAAGAGTGAGAGTGCATAAATCTAAAGGGGACGAAAAATGTTCAGACAGTCACTTATCATCTGCTGAAGAATTATATTGGAGCACTTTCTCAACTCTACAGAATCGTCCTGATAAGTAAAATTTCCATTTCTTCTTGTTTTTTTTCTTTTCTAAAATTCAATGTGTTTTTATACACTCCATCAAATAACAGGCTGCTAATTTAGAAACCCAATAATGTTACACGATCTGCAAATGCTTCAAGATAAGGGTTAAATTTGTTTCAGAGATCTGGTTTGGTTTGGTTTTCTTTTTGGGGCTGAATTTAAACTCTGAAATGCTTGATGCTTTCACTTTAGTTCAAGCCTTGGAGTAGATATTAGAAACAAAGAACTACTTTTTTTTAAAAAAAAAATTAGGACTCTCGTCCAAAATATAGATGTAATAAATAATAAAATTACATACACGCTGCTGAAAGATTTGAGCCTGAGGAATTTGTTTTGAGTCTCAAAAGTGAATGGAGCTTTGGTCTTTCCACATAAAATCCACTCTTACTTGTTCATGGCTAGCCTAGAGTGGTATGGGGAAGTAAATTGGTTGGGAATTAGAAATGCCACACAAAAGTGGGCAATTTGCTAGCCCTGTAAACATTTTCTGTTCTTTTTTGGGGGCATGGGATAGGCTCTTCTAATAAAGGTATTGCATAAGATTGGTGATTATTGGGGAATCCTGGATCAGGAAGGCGGTGTCATACCAGAAAGAGACAAATGTCACAACATTTCCATTCTGTTGCCGAGAAAACTACATAGATGCAGACTTCCTCAAAGAGCTGAGTTTGATCAAGGATATCTTTTCATTTTATAGTAATTTTAAAATAAAAATAAACTACAGTAGATTATATCTTTCCCTGAGAAGAACTTGGTACCGTATTTCTCATATAATAAGGCCGGGTCTTATTTTTTTTTGAGCCCCGAAAAAATGGCTAGGCCATCTTTTGGGGGGTGACTTCCCCCCCCCTTGCATCTTCAGGCGGGCGGGCGGCGACAGCTTGGATGTTGACCTCAGCGTTGGTGGGGCACTTCGTATCGGGGTCAATGCAGGCAGCACCATATCCGGGTGTGCAACAAAAGTACTTCCTAACAGCAAGCCCCCCCACCATTCCCCCCCATTTCGCATGTTTTAATATAGGCCTTAATTTGAGGGGAGGGGCTTAATTTCATTTCATGCCTATAAAACATGCTGGTACTTCCTATTGGGGGAGGCCATATTGTTGGAGAAACAGGGTAGTAGAAGCTTCCTTCCATCTGTCTTTATACTTCTTTTCTGGCTAAGCAGAAAAGAAGATGGTCAAACCCCGTCATTCAAAATTTCTGGGTCTATATAAATTATTAATAATTAATATTAAATCAGTATCTATTTTAACTAGAATTTGCCACACAGACAGCAATAAAGCATTAATCCCAAATCAGAAAAGCAACATGATGTGATTAACTAGCTCGGCAATTCTGGATTTTTTTAATAACATAGATAGATTGTCCATACATTGTAAAAGAGATGCTGCCTCTTTAATATTGTGGTCTCTAATCCACTTTTATACATGAATTGAGTCTCTGAACCTAGGATTGTCTGGATGTGTTGGATTTTACATATGTGGAAACTTCAACATCGGCAAAGACTATTTCAAAAGAAGTATAAATTAATCTCTCTTTTTCTTGCATGATCTCACAATGACACTCTGAGAGGTATGCAAAAAGAATAAAATAAATCTTTAATAAAGCAGTCAGCCAGCAATAAAACCATCTATTCTAAAACAACATACAAAAATAATGGGGGTGGGGGGAATACATCTATTTATTTGTCATTCAATTTGTCATGTCTATTGATTGATAAATTCTAACTGTAGAAAATTTTCCTGCAAAAACACGGGGTGTCATTTAATTACTATTGCATTCTTTCAGATCAACCAGAATGAATTGGCAGCAAGTAGCTCCTGGAATCATCCTTTTACTAGTCAAGCTCACAGGGACATCTCTATTTTTTGTTTTTTGTGAGTATTGGGCAAATTTTAAGTGGTTGTTTTTGTTTAGTTTTTGATAATCTTGTCATTGTCTCTTTTCTCAATTCTTCCTGTCTTGCATATATACTGTCAGGGCTTTGGGGTTTTGAAATATGGATATATATTACAGTGTGTGTGTGTGTATACATTCATACATACAAACAAACAAACACACACACACACACACACATATGTAAAGCCATAATGTACAGTACATACATTATATCTTCTTTTAACTTTATTTTTTATGCTTATTGATTTTATTATAGTATCTTTGATTGTCGTGAGAGTTGGGTAGCATATAAGGTTGATTAAATTATTACTATTGAAATGTTTTGAGTTTCCATGTTTTACTATGCCTCAATACATAAAGATATAAATAACCCTTATTGTTTTGCAGCTGTTATTGTTTTTGGTTTTTCAAAGAAGTATTTTATATGTGGCTGTCATTCCACATAGTGCTTTTTTATAGTATACTTTATTATACCATTGAAAACAAGAGGCAGATTAATAGATAGACTGATATGGAGAGACAGAATTTTCCCTAGGGAAAAGTTGAGATTTAAACTAAGGACTTGACTTTTATCTTTCCTTTGAACCTGATTCAGCTCCCACAACTGACAATGAATAACAATGACAAAACAATTGTTTTTACTCCCTACTTTATTTTAGCAGAAGTATTGAAAAATTTTTTATCAGCTGTTATTTAAAAATATTCTTCTTTTTAGTTCCACAGATCTTTCCCAAGGGGAACATCACTTCTACCTCTACAGAAAATTCTTCAGGTAATTCTACATGAAAATCCAGAGATTTCTGAGACTTGAAAATAACTGGATGGGGGATAAATGTACTTCGATTTCTGTTGAGAAAAAAACGTATTATGTGGCATTCAGTGGGGAAACTTCTTGAAGTTGGAACTCCCTTTTCTCCATCAAAGAAGAGGAGTTTTCAACATAAAAGAATTTTCCCCATTGAATGGAAGGGGATTAAGTAGAATTAAGTAAATCTCATCCAGGTGTCTCCAACATTTTGCAGCACCAGCCAACCTGTATTGATAACCAGAGGCAAAGTGCTTCTCATCTGCTTATTCAGTAGCGGAACCAGTTGTGATTCCATGAGTAGTAAGTTGGTTCAAAAGATGTTTGACATTCAGCTGATGGCTTTAGATCAGGAGTGTCAAACTCGCATTGTCACGGCAGTGTCATGTGACATGTCTGGACTTTCCCCCCTCACTAAACCAGGTGTGGGCATGTCCAGCACGTGATGCATGCAACCCACGGGCCATGAGTTTGACAGCTCTGCTTTAGATGACCAGCCATAGAGCATGAATTCCAGCAACTCTTTCCATTTAATTGCCCCTGAGTTCCAGATGCTCTTACACATCATCTTCAACCAGCAGAAGGATGGTGCCCTCCTTGTATCACTTAATGCATGGAGGAAGTGTCAAAATTCTACAAGCAGCAGGTCCTGACCTTTACGTCCACCCCAACACTGAAGTGTTGATCCAATTGAGGTACAGTGTGTGCTTATTATTACTTTGCCTCACTGTGCACTAAGGGGATTGGCTGAGAAATGAGAGGTGTCTGTTATGAAAAGTCTCATCTCTTCCTGTCATGCACACTGAGGAATATGTAGATCCTGCTTCATGCTAAGATGCTAGATGTGACTTTACATAGGTGAAGGGAATAGGGCCTTGAACTCTTTATAGAGAGCATGGGGCTGTATTAGAAACCTCAGCTGTGACTCCATGATCACAGGGAATGGGCCTAAAATATAAAGTGCAACCCATTGCGTGTCATAGATAGTCTTCTGCTTTATTGTTCATGAACTGCGTCTACAGCATCTAGAGGGGAATAATCGGTTCTTATAAAGCCAGGAAGACGAGTTACACTGCCCAGTGACAACACCAAATAGACAGCCACAAAACCCAATTCTGGCACAGAATTCTGGTTGGTTGCCTCCTGGGAAAAGCTTTTGCCTAGGAATTAGAAAATCAGAAAGTGATTTCTACTGATGTCATGGAAATTTCAGTAAAAATAACTCTCAAAATGTTAGAAATGCAACAAACAATTTGGATACATATGAGGTGGTAATGTTGTAAACCTCAACAATACTGGAAATTAATTCATTGCAAATTCATAACTAAAAAATACTGTAGATTTGATATACACTTCAATCTACTTGAAAACCATTTCTGGATTACATGCAATCATACCACATTACAAATGTGGGTTCCAGTCTGTATAATTGAATATATAACCTACATCAGTGGTGGGATTCAAAATTTTTTTACTACCGGTTCTGTGGGCATGGCTTGGTGGGCGTGGCAGGGGAAGGATACTGTAAAATCTCCAGTTAGAAGTGGTATTTGCCGGTTCTCCGAACTACTCAAAATTTCCGCTACCAGTTCTCCAGAACTGGTCAGAACCTACTGAATACCACCTCTGACCTACATGTTATTTACTGTACATTATTTTAATGTAACATATACAGGTTTTCTGTTTCCTCTTACTGATTTCAATTGTACCAACCAAATAATTTTACCGTTCAACAGAATACTGTATGTTCAACTATGAAATGTCTTAGAATACTCTAAGTTGTTAATGGTGTTTTACAGTATATTAGCATTATGATATTTTAGATTTGTCAAGTTAGTTGAGATCTGGTAGTCATCTGCCTATATTATATTGCTTACATTGTTTCCCCTCCCTCCTTTTTTGCTTATTTTTTCTTGGTATCATAATGATAATACAAAATAAATTAAGAAGACTAGTTTTGTCAAAAGAAGACTAGTTTTGCTGAGGAAGGATGCATATACGACTTAGAATTCCTTTTTTTTAATTTTGGGTACCACTGAGTATTGATAATGTGAATTCAATTTACATTTAGGATGTAAATGACGGATGCTATTTTTTTGTTTCCAGTGTGGCTCCTTTTTCCTGAGCAGATTCCTTCCCTCTCTCCCTTGCGTCCTACTACAGGTAGAAAGTGAAATGATTATTTTTCTCTCCATACCTGATAATCAGTTGGGGATGATTGGAAAGGGAATGGGGAAAGTGGTAACTCCGCTAGTGAAACTTTGAATAGAGGAAAATAGCTCATGTTTCTGATTGTCCACTAGGTTACACAAAATAAATCGAGAAGTTTCTTTTATAACAGAGTGGAGAAGACAATTAACTGAAATCATCTTGTGTGAGATATTAAAAATCCCCAATCAGTTTTATTTCCAGTCACATTTTTATTAAATTATCATATCTGTATCTCAGGACAAAAAGTTCCCTCTGGGCAATAAATACACGAGACTTAATATTAGCTACATTTTATTACTACTTAATGTTTTTCAGTGGCGTTTTTCATACTGACTCAGATATGTCTCTGGAGTTTCTCTATCATCCAGGTCATGATTGTCCCAATGTTGCTTTTCAAAAGGCAACTGGAATTTCTTGGGTTTTTTTTTTCTTGAAAACATTTCACTTCTCATCCAAGAAGCTTCTTCACTTCTTGAGAACTGAAAAAGCTTCTTGTATGAGAAGCTAAACATTTTCAAGGGAAAAAAACCCCCAAGAAAGTCCAGTTGCCTTTTGAAAAGCATCTTTTGGACACTGACCCAGATAGGATTGCCATGCAATATATGGGCTCCAAAAAATCTAGGGAAGACACACACACACACACACACACACACACACACACACACACAGAGAGAGAGAGAGAGAGAGAGAGAGAGAGAGAGAGAGAGAGAGAGA